GGGGTTGGTAACTGGAGAGGATAGTCAACATTAACTGGGTAAAGAAACGGGGGCAGGTTCAGCTTCTGTTTAAACAAACTTAATAGTCACAGGTTACCCTGCTCACTCTGGAACCTAGCTTTCAAAGCTTCCCGGATGCACAGCGCGTCCCACTGTGCTCTTCTAATCTCCCGGGTGTCTGGCTGGGCGTAATCAGCAGCCAGGCGATTTGCCTCAACCTCCCACCCCGCCATAAACGTCTCACCCTTGCTCTCACAGAGATTGTGGAGCACACGGCAAGCTGCAATAACAATGGGGATATTGGTTTCGCTGAGATCAGAGCGAGTCAGTAAGCTTCTCCATCTCCCCTTCAGACGTCCAAAAACACACTCCACCACCATTCTGCACTTGCTCAGCCGGTAGTTGAAGAGTTCTTTTTCACTGTCCAGGGCACCTGTATAGGGCTTCCTGAGCCAGGGCATTCCTGAGCCAGGGTAGGCTGGGTCCCCGAGGATCACTATAGGCATCTCCACATCCCCAACAGTTATTTTGTGGTAAATGCCTTCCTGCAGCCGTCTAAACAGACCAGAGTTCCTGAAAACGCGAGCATCATGAATCTTGCCCGGCCATCCGACGTTGATGTTGGTAAAACGTCCCCTATGGTCCACCAGTGCTTGCAGCACCATTGAAAAGTAGCCCTTTCGGCTGGCCTGGTGTTCCGGTCCCAGGATAGGGATGTGAGTTCCATCTATAGCAGTTTGGGAATCCCATCGCAGCAAAGCCATCTATGATCACCTGCACGTTTCCCAGGGTCACTACCTTTGAGAGCAGTAGCTCAATGATTGCATTGGCTACTTGAATCACAGCAACCTCCACGGTAGATTTGCCCACTCCAAATTGGTTCGCGACTGACTGGTAGCTGTCTGGCATTGCAAGCTTTCAGAGGGCTATGGCCACTCGCTTCTGGACAGTCAGGGCTGCTCGCATCTGGGTGTCCTTGCGCTTCAGGGCAGGGGACAGCAACTCACAAAGTTCCAGGAAAGTTCCCTTACGCATCCGAAAATGTCGCAGCCACTGTGATTCATCCCAGACCTGAAGCACTATGTGGTCCCACCAGTCCGTGCTTGTTTCCCGGGCCCAGAATCGCCGTTCCACAGCATCAATATGACCCATTGCAACCATGATGTTCACGGCGCAGGGTCCCGTGCATTGTGAGAGGTCTGTGCCCCTCTCAGACTTGATGTCCTCACGGCGCTGCCGTAGCCTCCTCGCCTGATTTCTCAGCATTTGCCTCTGAAAAAGATGCATGATAAGGTGCGAGATGTTGACAATGGCCATAACTGCAGCGATGATCGCAGCGGGCTCCATGCTCGCAGTGCTGTGGCGTCCGAGCTGTCAATCACCAGAAAAGTGCGCGAACTGATTGCCCGTCAGCGCTTTCACGGAGGGAGGGCGGGAGTGAGGGTTGAATGACGAGAGTTACCCAAAACCACCCTCGACACATTTTTTGCCCCAGCAGGCATTGGGGGCTCGACCCAGAATTCCAATGGGCAGCGGGGACTGTGGGAACTGTGGGATAGCTGCCCACAGTGCACCGCTTCCAATGTCGACACTTGCCCCGTTAGTGTGGACTCACAAAGTCGAATTACTGTCCTTAGTGTGGATACACGTTTGACTTTGTAATATCGGTTCCACAAATTCGCTTTAAGTAAAATCGAACTACTCTCGTAGTGTAGACATACCCCCAGGCTGCTTGCACCGTCCCAGCCTGAGCCGGGCTACTCCACTCAACCTGAGTCGGAGGAGTGGAGACCAACGGGGACCAAGAACTGCCCAATATGGGTCTAGTTTCTCCCCTGGTCTTGCTCCAGTGCCTCGGACAGGGAGCGGTGCCGACTGGTGGAAGGCACCGAAGGGTCACTGTGCACCGACGCCGCGGTACCCGGTGCCGACTTGGAGCAGCGCACCGGAGTCAGGGTCAACGCCTACTTCATCAGAATGGCTTGGAGACAAATGTCCCTTTCTTTCTTGGTCCGAGGCTTGAAGGATCTACAAGTCTTGCAGCGATCACTGAGATGGGTTTCCCCCAGACAGCATAAACAGTCCAAGTGCGGGTCACTCACTGGCATTGGCCGCCTGGAAGTGTCGCATGACTTAAAGCTCAGGGCACTGGGCATGCCCCGACCTGGGCGCACTAAACTAAACTAAACTACTTTAGCTACAGGTACTAACTAACTATGAATGAACAAGAGTTCAAGAGGATAGCTGCAGACACGCTGGAACAGAGCAGGTCTGATGCACCTTCACTGGCGGCAAGAAGGAACTGAGGGTGGGGGGAAGCACGCAGTGCCCCTTATACCGTGCCATAGAGGCGCCACTTCAGGAGTCGCTGGGGCACTCCCCTATGGGTACTGCTAGGGGAAAAACTTCCGGCACTGGTGCACGTGGCGAGCATGCCACATATTGTGGAATACACATGAGCAATCACTCGAAGAAGAACTCCCATTCTCTTCTCTTCCCCAGTCAAACAAGTTACAATAGGACCTTCCTCATTCACACACTGTATTACTGTCATAAAAATAGTGGCCTCTGCTCACAACACAGCAAATATTTAGCAGAAGAGCACTGCAGTGACTCCTCATAATACTAAGACTTTGTTATTTTCACAAAATATTCTGCAGTACGTTTATTTGTATATTACAAATAGCAAAAACTATATTTTGTGATTAAGTATCCTTTTCTTTTGTGTTTGCTTATCTAAACATTAATCAATAATTTGCAAAGACTGTCCCTGTCATTTTAACAACATTCCTTGTTTCCTTTGCCTTTAGCTATAGAGTTTTTAGAACGAAAAAACCACTTGTTTGACAGTCTCTTATGTGGTAATAATGTTGGTAATAACTGTCCTTTTGGGGAAATGAAAAGATATTAGTTGAGGTGTTATGGTTGCTGTTGCTGTTAAAGTCCAATTCTGTTTTCTAGAAGACAGCACAAGACACACACAAGTGAGAAGAGAAAAGAACAGCGAAGATCGAAAATGCAGCTTTTGGATCTGGTGTTGACTCCTACCTGCAACCACTCTGCTGCGTGGGGAGGGGATATGGCTCACTGTCTTAATAGTCATTGTGAGATCTGGCAAACTTGTACCAGCATCTTTAGGGCATTGCTTTTTGTCACCTCTTTCTGGTCACAGGGTAACAGCAATGTTACAAATACAGTCTTGCCTGGCTAAGCCAGACTCTTATTAAACAGAAGGTAAAAGCAGAGGGACAGGAAAGAGAAGAAATATGTGGGGGGGAGGGCGGATTTGAAAAAAGAAGACACTGTGTGTGAGCGCAGTGAGAGACAGGGAGAGTTCAGAATTTAGCTGGAGCTGGTGGAGGTGGCAATGTCATCTGAATCCCCCTCTCTGGCCCAATCTGGTCAGCATCTTTCTCAGGACCAGGATAAGAGAGCCCCACAGTGTTACAACAGATCCTGGGGACTCAAGAGACAGTGGCAGCCATGATGGTAAAGCCTGCTGCAGCAGTTGCTGGCAAACAGCTTCTTCCTCCTGAATTTCCCCCCAAAGTTTTCTCTTTTAAGGACTTCAAAAGGGCAGTGATGAGCAGAAAAGCCCATCCTCTCAATATTTTGATCATCAGTTAGTCCTAATTTCCAACACACCAATTTTCTTGTTTACCAGGCATGATCTTAACACAGTCCTTGAATTATATCGATAGGCTTTTTTGTCTCTTTTCCACCTTTTCTCATCAATGTTTATTGATGTTTGATATTTATTGTTATTGTCACATTTTATGAACTTCACTCGCTTCTTACAGTTGAGTTCACAATTAAGGTAAATTTGGAGACCCAATTATTACAAACAGTGCTACTGTAATTTATTTTAAAAAAGTAAAAACTTTTTGTTTCACAGGCTGTCATGACTAATCATAGCTTTTTATAAAAACTCAGAATGAGTCTTTAGAAGAAAAATAAACTTCAGCACATCACCACCACTGAACAAAGCTACAGTACTTAACAGCTATAATGCTACTTTTTTAAAAATAGCTTTTTAAAGTTTAACCCAAGGATAATCTATCAGAAGTATTTCTTTCCTAATCAGCAGCATAATCTTTGTCTAGTTTCAAGATGTTTGCATAACACTTGATTTTTATATTTTTCCACAAATTAGTCCAAAAACTTAGTCACTAGATATACTAATTTTTTTATTAATAAAACTGTGAATATTAACATTCTGTAGCTTTAAACCTTTGGCTATTTGATTCTGGAAATTAAACACACCTGCCATCTGCTTCTTTTGCCTTGGCATACTGCAGGTGAATCTTTGGAGATGATACACAAGGGAGAAGCTCACCAACCTTTGCCCTAGAAAACAAAGAGAATAAAGTAATCAAATAATAAATTGATCTTTCTTTTTAATTTGTCTTCGCCAAATAAAAGTATACGCATATTTATAGAAATACTTGAGAGAAAAGAAAAAGGGACTTACAAAATGTGTGCAGTATGAATACCAGCAACAACATGATCTTATTCTTTAGTAATAATTAAGACAAAAAAATGTAGTATGTAAAAGTGATCTCATTTTCATTTAAACGAACAAGGAAATTAATCATGATATTTTGCATTACAAATATGCTCTCTTCTGTTATATACAAGAGAAGCTTTGGAAGAGCTTCAAAGTTTTCAAAAATAGGCACTTGCTACACATCTAAAAACTAGTAATTGGTTACTGTGCATTTTCGGGCCATTTTATGCTGCTCTGACAATGTAAAGGGGCCTTACAGAATTAGAATATCATTTTTTCCTTGTTTTAATTTTGGATGTGATCATAGGCCCCAATCTTCACAGGTATTTAGAAACCAGTGGAAGTTACATACCTAAATACTTTAGTGAATTTGGTCTGTAGTTTCGATTTGTGAGAAGTGCCAGACAGACCACTCTGGACTCTGCCATACTCTCATTTATTCACAGAAAAGGCACAGTACTGATGACAGCAATGCAAGCCTTCCTTGCACTACCCCAATGTGTCTCATTTCTGACCTGGAGGAACTAGCTCATGAGGAAAAGGTACATCTGTCTTTCTACCAATTCAATTATTGTTCGCTCTGCAGAGATTGCTAAGAGGAGTCCAATTATGGTGGCAATTCTATTATGTAAACACCTGCTCCTTAGGAACTGGACAAGGGCCAAGTTCATTTTGGAAACGACACTGAACAGCCCTCTGATGCTAAAACAACGAGGAGTCCTTGTGGCACCTTAGAGACTAACAAATGTATTTGGGCATAAGCTTTTGTGGGCTATAACCCACTTCATCAGATGCCTGGAGTGAAAAATTCAGTAGGCAGGTATAAATATACAGCATGTGAAAAGATGGGAGTTGCCTTACCAAGTGGGGGGGTCAGTGCTAACGAGGCCAATTCAATTAGGGTGGATGTGGCCCATTCCCAACCGTTGACAAGAAGGTGTGAGTATCAACAGAGGGAAAATTGTTTTTTTGTAGTAACTCAGCTACTCCCAGTCTTTATTCAGGCCTTTATTCAGAACTGGAATTAATTTGCAAACTTGACACCATCAAATCAGGCCTGAATAAAGACTGGGAGTGAGTTACTACAAAAAATAATTTTCCCTCTGTTGATACTCACACCTTCTTGTCGACTGCTGGGAATGGGCCACATCCATCCTGATTGAATTGGCTTTGTTAGCACTAGAAGTTTTGATTTACATCAACCTGCGTTTCTGAAGATTCAGAGAGTGTAAATCATACTTGACCTAGTCCCCAGGAAAAGAGTCATGTGAACTGTGTGTCTGATTAATCAAGTTGATCAGGGACTCCTATTCCTTTTCAAAGGGCACTACAATAAAACCTGTTTTTCAAGGAACGTAATACCGCACTAAAGCTGCACTTACCAGTTTTTACAGCGGATATATACTGATGCTGCCTTGTCGTAATATTGCCCCTTTTCATATAGCTGGGCGGCTTCTGAAAACTGCTACAATAATGAAAATTATACAATTTGTTAACTTATTTGTAGACTGTGAATTCATCATGTTATTAATGCTCTCTGTATTACTACGGATACCTTCATACTCTCCAGAATGGCTCCACAGTCTCTCTTTAGCAGCCTGCTAGGATGTTTAATGGCTTGGTTAACCCCTCGACGAATGTCTCCCATTCGAATGGACATCTGAGCCACTCCAGCTAGGCAAGCTTCATCATGTTCCTGGTACTGGTGATCAAAAGTAAAGTGATAACTATATTTTCAGTACAAAAAGTACTGGTTTTACAGAAGCCATTGCAATGATTGCAACAACAGTGAAATGCATCAACCAGAAACAACCTGACCTCAGGTAAAACTGTTCTTGTCTAAAAAATTTAAACCAGAGTTTGAAAAGGCAACAGTCAGTATTTATGATTAAATAATGGCACCACTAATTGTGGAAAAGCCTATGTTTTCCTTGCTGGCCACATTTAGGTAACTTTCTGGTGAAGTTTCATCTAGTCTTTCACACTACATTCTATTTTTTGAAATAACTGAGTAGGCCAAGCATACAGGACAAAGGTAAGTTTCAAAAAGAGACAAAGAAACAGAACAAAACACCAAAACAGATGTACAGAAAAAGACAGATGGGGAAATTACTTGCTTCTAATTGGACTTCTTTCAAAGTACTAGCCCCCAATTCACACATTTGGTTTTAAAATATACAAGGAAGCATTTCTATTTCTCTTGTTTTGAAAAAATCTGACTATTCATTTTTCTTCTTCTTTACTGAACAATTGACTACACCAAAGGAGCAGAGATCTATATAAATATCATATATAAATATATTATTATTTTGGCACTGTCCCCCTTAATATTTATATAAATATTGTGAAATTGTTCAAATGATGAAAATAATTTCTGTACTACAATCTTAATGCAATAGATATTAATAAACTACTGATTTACATCAAGTAAGCCATTTTGCTCTGTGTATAAAATGACAGGAAAGACCAATATATCAATATTGTTCTTCGAAAAGGAAGAGAGTCATATCATTTACAGACGAATACAAAATCCTGTATTTAAATATACTGTAACAGAAGGATTCAGTGTATAATATATATTACAATTACTTGTATGCTGCCATCATTGAAGAGTATTACCTTATTGTCCTTTGTGATTCCTTTCTCATAGTGCGCCAAAGCATTCACATAATCACCCCTAAAAGAAAATAATAATTTATATTAAAAATGTAAATTAATAGGAACAACAGTTGCAGAGATATTAAGCCTGCATACTTAGGATATCCATTCCATTTATTTGTCAGCTAATCGACTCTTATTAAAACAGTTAATCCTGTGATCACATTTTTGCAGCATTTAATGTAAATTACAATTCTTTTTTGAGGTGGCCACTGCATATTCCCATTTTGTGTGATGTGCACCCCTAGTGCTGCTGCATTTCCTTTGGGAACCTTCTGGAAAGCAGCACCACATTCAGACCTAAGGTTACAAAAGTACCATATGGTCACAAATGCCTCAGTTCCCTCCTTTCTGTGGCCACCTGCAGGTATCTTCTCTCAGTATACAGGGTGATTTGGATACAAAACTCCCTAATTTTTAGACTTAAATTGTATTATTGTTAGTTAGTAAGTGTTATGTAGTTTGTGCCATGGCATACTTAGTTTTCACTTTGACCCTATGGTCTTTGAACCTTTTAATTATGGCTCTCCAGGACTCTGTGGCTCAGATAAGAAGGCATAATTAAGCATGTGCGTCATGTCCCTTCATGTTCCAAGAAGAATAAGCAGTGAGTATGCACACCTGTCTCTTGGAGAAGCCTCTTTCCTATATCACTTCTAGGCCTTTACACCTTGAGCTCAACAAGCAATAGAAGCTGATTTCAGAAAGAAGTGTCCTATTTTGATACCACTAATGTTGACTGAATGATTTATTTACCAACTTAAACAAAACAGAAATAGGACATTATTATTCCCAAATAAGAGGGTTCCCAGACTTGTTCCGAAACAACAAAAGGTGTGAATTAAAAATGATTTAGTGATTGCAGTGCATATTTGCATGGAAATAATGCCTATGTCAGGGTTTATGGCTGTTGTGCCAAAATCTTCTATGGGCCCTAGAAAGTGAGTCTTCTAAAGCTCGAAAGTCACTGGTGATGAGGCTGAATTTGACTTCTAAGGAGCTCCTTTGTATGATCTCTTTGATAGGGTAGAAACCTGGTACTGTGAGAAGCAATCTCTCAACCACTGTTTTCCCATAAATCTCACTTGCTTTACCAGATTAAGCCTGCTCAGTGGCTGCTCACGGGAACATACTTGAAGCAGCCATGATCCCCTACCTTGATTTGGCAGCCAAAGGGAACAGGATATCAACCTGGTAGGGGCAGCTATATAGTTAGGTTTAAAAGACAAGGGTAGTAGGGTAGACTCCTTCTCTCTACCAGGGACTGCTGACCTGAAAGTCTGGCTCTCCTTTTTCACAAATATACAGGAGATGGGATGACCCAGCATGATCTGGGAAGGAGAGGCATGGGCATTTAAATACCAGGCTGTCTTCCACTCTCAACAGTGGAGATAAAAGATGGCAGGAAGGAGAAAGCTACTCCAAGCTGACACTGCTCTGCAACTAAACCTCTGGTTAATGGTCTATTTTGTTTGCATTGGGAAGTTTGCCGGTTGGTGTGCACTTCATTTTTTGCTTTTTTGGGCACTTAAATCAATCATGAGCAGCTATTTTTGTGAACCATGTCTCCAGAGTAGTTTTCTGTGGATACTCCCAATTTCCCTGGTACAGCAGCTGCAGGACCTCTCAGGGATTCTGTATAGCACTGCAATGAGCTGGAGTGGCTCAACAAATCAAGATCTTTGTGGAAATGCTTTCAGGATATCGCTAATATTTTTCTACTCAGTAGGAGTACTAGTTCAATATTACAACACTACATTTTTACAGGAGAACATACGTGAATTCAAGCTGCATAGCATACTCCTTTGATATGAACGGGATCTGGCCTGGGGCCAAACGTTTAGCCAGTTGCAGTGCGCTGTCCCAGTGCTGCAAATCTCTTCTCATCTGTTACCAAAAGAAATTCTTTGAAGTCAGCTTTTGCGGGGGAAACAATTTTCTGATGTAAGCATCAAATACTGCATCATTATATTATTTTCTAGTATTATAAATACAATTATCAATGTTAGAATCTTGGCTGGATTCAACAGAAAGTTTGAGACAGATGATAGCAAGAAGGTGATATTGTAATAAGAGGCATAATACATACTTATCTTAAGCAATTGACAGACCCATATCATTATGACTCAAAATGTTTAGAAATACTACAAAACTAAGCAGAATTATCACCATGTAAAATAATCAGGTAGTAGTGTATATTAGGTTGGCAAGAAAAACAATTAACATCTGACAACGTTTTAGGCATCTTAACTGGGTACCTCAAGTGCAGCAACAGGACAGGTGGATGCCAGATATAAATCCTGAGCCAGATTAAAGTCATTAGTAAACATGGCAAGATGTCCGGCTAAAAGGTTGTGGTCTTCTATTCCCTGTAAATAAAAATGCCGAGTGCTACAACTGTCCAGAAGATGACCGTATTACAAACTGTCATTTATTACTAATTTTTAAAAGATTCTACAGATCCATCTGCCAGGTCATGTCTATGCATGTGTCACATTTGTCACTTAGAAAAAACATGGCACACACATTTGCTGTATGATATGCAGAGTTACATAATTTGTTAAAACCTCTCTCATTACACAAGAAATGGGACATTTCTCAATGTACATGGAAGGGATGCCATCAAATAGGAAAGGGCAGATTCTACCCCAATACACGGCAGTCCCCTAGCAAAATGCAAGAGCCCGGTTTGAAAGCCCTCATTCAAACAGTTCCAATAAAGCTAATGGGACTCCTCACGTAAGTAAGAGTTGCAGAAATGGATACCGGTACTTACACAAATCAGAATTTTTTATTTTTTATTTTTATTTTTTTTTTTTTTAGGGTTTCGGCATTTCACAAAAACAGCCAAGGCATTCAAAGTGACACATTTTTTCAATTGTTTTTAAATGAGAAAATGTTTGAAGGCCATTACCATTAAAACCGTCCAATATCATATTCCTCCTAGAGGCATTCTGCACCAAAAAATTAAAAATTCTGTGCCAAAAATAAAATTTTTTGCACACAATATTTTAAAATTCTGCAAATGTTATGTGTCAAAATAATACTACGTCAGGGATCGGCAACCTTTGGCACGCGGCTTGCCAGGGTAAGCACCCTGGCGGGCCGGGCCGGTTTGTTTACCTGCCACGTCCTCAGGTTCAGCTGATTGCAGCTCTCACTGGCTGCGGTTCGCCGCTTCAGGCCAAGGGATGTGCTGGCCGCCGCTTCCTGCCGTCCCCATTGGCCTGGAGCAGCGAACCGCGGCTAGTGGGAGCAACGATTGGCCGAACCTGCGGATGCGGCAGGTAAACAAACCAGCCCGGCCCACCAGGGTGCTTACCCTGGCAAACCGCGGTGCCAAAGGTTGCCGATCCCTGCACTACATAATCGCACCAATTTCAATTATTTTGGAAATTTATTTCAAAATACCTGCCAGCAAGTATGTCTGTAACAATATAAACACAAAATTTTCCCCAGGAGTAGAGAGTTAAAGAAACACCTATGACAACCCAGATCCTGTTTCTCTGTCCCCTTCCCAGAGCCCCGTCAGGATGCCAGACACCCGCAACCCCTCCCCCCCAGAGCCCAGCCGTGCCCCCCACACCCAGCCAATACACCTGAACCCTCTCTGCCCCAGGGCCCAGCTGCGGGGCCCCCACGGGCAGGATACCTGCCCTCTTCCCCCCACCCCCGAGCCCAGGGATCCAGAGGGAGAAACAGCCTGATGATCAGTCCCACATTTGCATGGAGTTTCCTGCCTGCCGCCCTCGCCTTGCCTCAGGGCATGCTGGGAACTGCAGCTGCCAGGAACCTTCTAGCTCCCTCCTCCTCCCCCCAGCAGTGTCTTCTATGTATGAGCTGGGCTCTGCTGAGTCCAGCAGCACCCAGTGACAGCTAGCAGCACTACAGCCCATTTCTGTAGGGGAAAGGAAATTCTGCACTGTGCAATGGCGAAGAATTTCCCCAGGAGTAAATATCAGCGATTTGCAATAGAACAGTCTAACATTTCCTGTTTTAATATGCATTTTTAAGATGAACTATTGCAAATTATTGATCTTAGTTACAATGTAACAATCATGAACATTTATAAAAAAACTATAATAAAAATGCTTCATTCTGAATGTCTTGATTGTCTCTGTAAAATCTATACTGTATGAGTAGACACATTGTTGTAACTATATTAATTATATATTTGAACAGTATACAAATCTAATGGAAAAAAGAACAGAAAGGAATGAGAAAAATGAAAACATAAAAACGCTTCAATTTTCTGCTTTGTTTTCTTCAAATATATATTACTATGTATACACATATTGTTTTATTAATTTTGGATTAAAAACCCACGTTAATGCAACATATTAAGGTTACTTGAACACAAAAAAAGCTAGAAATGCAAAAGTTTAGTTTCTAAAAGTAATATGAACTCCCACACGTTACACACATTATAAATACTACTTGTACATTTTGATTTCTAGATTTCTAAATTATTATATACCATTTACATACAGAATGTGCAAAAGCAAAGCATCAACAAAGCACTGAAAAGTTGTAAACAGAGCACAAGTGTTTAATATATAGAAATATTTTATTGTGACTTCATGGACAAAAAATGAAATAATGACATTAATGTTATATATGTTATATTAAGAAAACCAAACAGAAAAATTATAAAAGGTTTTGAAATAAAGCCTTTATAAGGACTCTGACCCGTGAGGTGGACAAACTGACAACAAACGTGAATATTCTGGGGAGCATGAAAACCAGGAGCAATCTTTAACACATACACAACCCATTTGCCAAATTCTGATTTTAGTTACACCATTGTCAACCCAGAGAGACTCCACTTATTTCAGCCGTTACTCCAAATGAGATCATAACATAGCCTTAGGATTTTGAAATATGAGGAGAAAGCAGAAGGAAAATGCAGAATTTCTTGGTGGGCTCATAAAATCTTTAAAAGCTCTTGTAGCTCACCTTTTAAAAAACAAACTTAATAGAAATTTTAGTATTCAATTCATGGAATTGTCTATGTTAGAGACAAAGGCCAAAAGAATTTGGTAATTTCTAACACTTCCAAAATGTGTAACTCACCGGTGCTTTGAAAGTAAGTGCCATTTCAACCATGCCAAAGTTTCAAAATCAGCTTTGTCCTGTCTTCTACTTATTTCTAGAAACATAATACCGTGTTCTCCTTTCTCAGGAACTGCCACAACCCATAGGGTAACCCCTAGATCTTGTGTTATGAGGAGTAAATAACACATTTTTAAAAATTACACAAAAACATAAGAATGGCCATAGTGAGTCAGACCAATGGTCCATTGAGCCCAGTATCCTGTCTTCCGACAGTGGCGAATGCCAGGAGCTTCAGAGGGAATGAACAGAACAGGTAATCATCAAGTGATCCGCCCCGTTGTCCATTCCCAGCTTCTGACAAACAGAAGCTAGGGACACCATCCCTGCCCATCCTGGCTAATAACCATTGATGGACCTATCCTCCATGAACTCATTTAGTTCTTTTTTAAATTCTGTTATAGTCTTGGCCTTCACAACCAGGGGCGGCTCTATGTATTTTGCTGCCCCAAGCACAGCAGTCAGGCAGCCTTTGGCGGCATGCCTGCAGGAGGTCTGCTGGTAACGCGGATTCGGCAGCATGCTTGTGGGAGGTCTGCCGGTCCTGTGTCTTTGGCGTACCTGCCGCTGAATTGCTGCTGAAGCTGCGGGACCGGTGGACCTCCTGCAGGTACGCCGCCGAAGGCAGCCTGACTGCCACCCTCACGGCGACCGGCAGGCCGCCCCAGGCACGTGCTTGGTGCGCTGGTGCCTGAAGCCGCCCCTGTTCACAACATCCTCTGGCAAAGAGTTCCACAGGTTGACTGTGTGTTGTGTGAAGAAATACTTCCTTCTGTTTGTTTTAAACCTGCTGCCTATTAATTTCATTGGTGTCCCCTAGTTCTTGTGTTATGAGGAGGAGTAAATAACACTTCCTTATTTACTTTCTCCACACCAGGCATGATTTTATAGCCCTCAATCATATCCTACCTTAGTCGTCTCTTTTCTAAGCAGAAAAGTCCCAGTCTTATTAATCTCTCCTCATGTGGAAGCCGTTCATCCCCCCTATCATTTTTATTGCTCTTTTCTGTATTTTATCCAATTCTAATATCGTTTTTGAGATGGGCGATCAGATCTGCACACAATATTCAAGATGTGGGTGTACCATAGATTTATATATAGAGTCAATATGATATTTTCTATCTTCTTATGTAATCCTTTCCTAATGGTCCTAACATTGACTGCTGCTGCACATTGAACAGATATTTTCAGATAACTATCCACAATGACACCAAGATCTCTTTCTTGAGTGGTAACAGCTAATTTAGAGCCCATCATTTTATATGTATAGTTGGGAGGGATTGTGTTTTCCAATGTGCATTACTTTGCGTTTATCAACATTGAATTTCATCTACCATTTTGTTGCTAAGTCACCCAGTTTTGTGAGATCTCTTTGTAACTCTTTGCAGTTTGCTTTGGCCTTAACTACCTTGAGTAGTTTTGTATCATCTGCAAATTTTGCCACCTCATTGTTTACCCCTTTTTCCTGATCATTTATGAATATGTTGAATAGGGCTGGTCCCAGTACAGACCCCTGTGGGGAACACCACCATTTACCTCTCTCCAGTCTGAAACCTGACCATTTATTCCTATCCTTTGTTTTCTTTCTTTTAACTAGGTACTGATCAATAAGAGCATCTTCCCTCTTATCCCATGACAATTTACTTTGCTTAAGAGCCTTTGGTGAGGGACCTCGTCAAGGCTTTCTGAAAATCTAAGTACACCGCTACCTCGATATAACGCAACCCAATATAACACGAATTCGGATATAACGCTGTAAAGCAGTGCTCCGGGGGGAGGGGGAGGGGGGCTGCGCACGCCGGTGGATCAAAGCAAGTTCAATATAAGGCGGTTTCACCTATAACGTGGTAAGATTTTTTGGCTCCCAAGGACTGTATTATATCGAGGTAGAAGTGTACATTATATCCCCTGTATCACCCTTGTCCACATGCTTGTTGACCCCCTCAAAGGATTCTAGTACATTGGTGAGGCACGATTTCCCTTTACAAAAAACATGTTGACTCTTCCCCAACAAATTGAGTTAGGCTTATCAGCCTGTAGTTACTAGGATCACCTCTGGAGCCTTTTTAAAAAGTTGGCGTCACATTAGCTATCCTCCAGTCATCTGGTACAGAAGCTGATTTAAATGACAGGTTACATACCATAGTATATGTACAGTACATGCAGTACTACAGTGCTGAATGCAAATCAACTAATTAAGGAGGGATTCCAGTAACTAACATATTCCGGAATATGCAAGCTGTTTAGAGATGGCTCTGGTTTCTCAATACATACTCTTCCTCTCCCTCTAAGATACTGACACCTCTAAAATAATTCTTCTTCAATATAAACACACAACACCAGAATTCCAGCAACCTTAAAAGTGCATTTAAATCTTAATCTTTTTACAAAAATGCTTGGTAATTACTTTTAAATGTTACCTTTATTTGTTCTAGTGACATCACCATCCCAACATTTCCAACTGTCCGATAAACACGTATTGCAAACTCCAATTCCATGTGATGTAGGCAAGCTCTGGCCAGCTCATTCCAACCAGATTGACCATTCAGAAGTTTGCATATCTCCCATGCTTCAGAAAACCTATGCAGGGTGAAAAACAAAACTAAAACACACAGTTGCATTCAATGTGTATTTTTTTAGAACATTTTCTCTTAAACCTCAAAAACTAGTTAACCTCAAAGCAGAGGGAAACTGGGGACTGACTAATTTCTAGGTTTTGTGGAAATTGCTAGGAGCCCTCTGACAGGAAAAAGCAGGGCCACATGAATACACCATCCTGAAGTTTATACCAAATTGCCCCACCTTTCTCCTTCAAAAACATACTTTCTTTCCCTGGCTTACTTCTCACCTTGCACTACACCCTCCCATTGTACTGTTTTTTGCTCCCTTAGAATGGAAGGAGTGGGTGGCATACACTTTCAGCGAGTTTTGAGGCAGAAGCTACCATGCAGCCCAGAATACTCTTGAATAAATTACTATAGCTCTTACTTTACAGTGAGAAAAAGCATCATTGGGTCATTTGTTACTTGGCTACCCAGACAGATTAAGCACTTATACGGAATGATGGTTCAATATAATTTTAATCGATATTCAGCAAGAGATTTTTTGAACACCAATGTATGCTGTACTGTGTGCTTCAATCACAGAAGGAAATGATTAACCCAATATACACTTCTACCTCGATATAACGCTGTCCTCGGGAGCCAAAAAATCGTACTGCGTTATAGATGAAACCGCGTTATATCGAACTTGCTCTGATCCATCGGAGTGCGCAGCCCCGCCCTCCCCCCCCCGGAGCACTGCTTTACCGCGTTATATCCGAATTAGCGTTATATCGGGTCGCGTTATATATTGGGGGTAGAGGTGTAATTAAAAAGCGGACCTACCTTTTCAGCATTAAAGTCTGAGTAAGTATTTGTTTCAGCTCATTAAATCCGGTGTCTTTCAAAATGCCAAGGAAACTATGAGTACTAAGATAGATATTGTTTGTTTTCCCACTCTGAGTCTGACAGGTTAATTCTCCATTATACAAAAGCAATGGTTTGTGGGAAAAGGGAACCTTGGTGCCACCTGCCAAAATAACTTTGGACCCTGTATTAGGAGATCAGAAAAAAAAACGTTATTTAAAATGCTCCTACATTATGACATGTTTAGCAACCAGTTGCAGTTGTGAACAGTTAAGAAATGTAAGAGTGAAGAAATCTTATTCTGAAAATGCCAACAGCTTTGTTCTTTTATCCTTTGGCATAGCAGCAGCACTACACCTGGACCAGTCTGACTAATTAAAGGTCTCCTGTTTGGCATTCATCATCTACTGTATGTACCAAGTGTCAAAGTATATACCAAAAAAAATTTGAAGAACAACTAGCAAAAGACACAAAAAGAACATTTTTTTTAAAAAAGTACTTCAGAAGCAGGAAGCCTGCCAAACAATCAGTGGATGACAGAGGTGCTAAAGGACCATTCAAGAAAGACAAGTCCGCTGCAGAGAACCTATATGAATTCATTGCATTGGTCTTCACTGCAGAGGATGTGAGGGAGATTCCCACACCTGAGCCATTCTTGTTAAGTGACAAGTCTGAGGAACTGTCCCAGACTGAAATGTCAATAGAGGTGGTTTTGAAACAGATTGATAAATTAAACAGTAATACGTCACTAGGACCAGACAGTATTCACCCAAAAGTTATGAAGGAACTCAAAAAAATATGAAATTGCAGAACTACTAACTATGGAATGTAACCTATTGCTTAAATTAGTCTCTGTAACAGATGACTGGAGGATAGCTAATACAATGCACATTTTCAAGGCTCCTAGCAATTACAGGCTGGTAAGCCTAACTTCAGCATCAGGCAAATTGGTTGAAACTATAGTAAAGAACAGAATTATCAGATACATAGATTAACACAATATGTTGGGGAAGAATCATCATAGCTTTGGTAAAGGAAAATCATGCCTCACCAATCTATTAGAATTCTTTGAGGGTGTCAACAAGTGTGTTGACAAGGGTGATCCAGTCAATATAGTATACTTGGACTTTCAGAAAGCCTTTATCTAGGTCCCAAACCTCAAGCTCTTAAGCTTAAACTTAAGCTCCTAAAGGCTCTTAAGCAAAATAAACTATAATGGGATCAGAGGTAGGGTTCTCTCATGAATCAGGAACTAGTTAGATACAGGAAACAAAATGTAGGAATGGTTTATTTTCACAGTGGAGGAGGTAAATAGTGGGGTACCTGAAAGATCTGTATGGGGATCTGAGCTATTCAACATATTCATAAATGATCTGGAAAAGGGGGTAAACAGTGATGTGGCACACTTTGCAGATAATACCAAATTTCTCAACATAGTTAACTCCAAAGAAGAGTTAAAAAGGGATCTAATTAATCTGGGTGACTGGGCAACAAAACAGCAAATGAAATTCAATGTTGATAACTGTGAAGTAATGCATACTGGAAAACATTCAACTCTACATACAAAATGATGGGGTCTAAATTAGCTGTTACCATTCAAGGAAGAGATCTTGGTGTCATTGTGGATAGTTCTCTGAAAACAGCCACTCAATGTGCAGTGGCAGTCAAAAAAGCTAACCGAATATTAAGAATCATTAGGAAAGGGATAGATAGTAAGACAGAAAAGAGGAGGTTACCTGTTACTGGAGGTTCTTCGAGATGTGTGATCCCGATCTGTATTCCACGGACGGTTTACACATGCACACCATGGTCTGGAGTGGAGAATTAGAAAGTAGTGTCCATCGGTCCGCACATGTGCCCTGATTCGTCTCATGTTTTTTTCTGAAGAGATAAAGGGCGGGACAGGCAACTCCAGTTCCTTTTCCACTGCAAATCCAGCAGATCTGCAGCAGAAGGCAAGGAGGGTGGGAAGTGGAATAGAGATAGGGGCCACGCATTTCAAAGAACCTCCAGTTACAGGTCAGTAAATTCCTCTTCTTCTTCTTCGTGTGACAGGCCCTATTGTATTCCATTGAGGGTGACTAACAAGTGGTACCTAAGTCAGAGGAGGGTGCGAAGATGCAGATGGAAGAGATAACCAGAGGACAGCCACGCCCTGAGGGAGGCATCCGTCACTGAGTCCTTCACCAAGGCGTAATGTGCAGCAAAGATGTGTACTGAATTCCATGTGGCTGCTCTACATATATCGCAAAGCAGCACATGGTGGAGGCAGGCCATGGTTGAAGCCTGGGCTCTCATAGAATGGCCTACATCCCCGAGGGTAGTGGGAGGACAGATAATTGATATCATAGTGTAATGCATCCCAAAATCCACTTGGAAATTAGCTATGTAGAGATTGCCTGCCTCTTAACTGTTGTTGCAACAATCAATCTGGGGGGTTTCCTGATTGGTCTTGGCCTCTGTAGGTAGAAGGCCAAGGCCCAACGGACATCGAGGGAGTGGAGTTGCAGTTCCTCTTCAGAGTTGTGTGGTTTCAGGAAGAAAGCAGGTAAGTGAATGGATTTATTAACGTGAAACTGGGAAATGACCCGTTGGCAAAATTTTGGGATGCAGATGTAAGGAGACTTTATCTTTATAGAAAATCATGAAAGGAAAGTTCTCCATCATGGCCCCAACCTCACTGACCCTTCTAGCTGAAGTGACAGCAATGAGGAAGGGACCTTCATGGAGAGGGACATAGAACGTGATGCCAGCAGTTCAAAGGGCGGTTTCGTTAGTATGGATAAAACCAGGTTGAGGTCCCACTGGGGAGTGATGGATTGTACAGGTGGGAAAGTTCTGATGAGGCCTTTCCAAAACCTAGCAGGCGGGTAAAGACAGTGTTCTTCCACATGGGGGTGAACGGCGCTAACTGCTGCTAGGTGGACCTTAAGAGAGTGAGGGTGAGCCCCGATGCCTTCAAGGATAGTAGGTAGTTCTGGAGGTGGGGAATCCCTTGCACTCTGCCCAGGAGGCAAAGCATTTCCACTTGGCTCAGCAACAACTCCTAGGGGATTCCTTCCTGCTGCTAACACCGCTCCCCCCCGGCAGCTGAAGTGCTGCTGAGGACCTGGAAGGGAACCAATTCTTAGGATTTTGGGAGCTCATCACTGAACACACCCCTTCTAGAGAATATGCCCATCCAAATACCCTGCTCTGAGGTGAAATGCATGTGGATTGGGATGGCTGATGCCGCTGTTGTGCTGTGTTAGGAGATCGGGGAAAGCAGGGATGGGAATTAGGGGACAGGTAGACATAAGAAGGAGGTTGGGAAAACAAAACTGTCTGGGCCAGGAAGGGATGATCAGGATCACTGTCGCTCTGTCTTGTCTGAACTTGTGTAGTACTCATGGTAGGAGTTAGAGAGGAGGGAAGGCGTAATTGAATTGGTCCGACAAGGAGATGGTGAGAGCATCGCTCTGAGAGCCTCAGACCTCCTCTGGAGCAATATGTGCTGCATTCTCTATTCACTGGGGATGTGAAGAGTTCTCTGGTCAGAGTTCCCCACTTGTCAAAGATGTCCTGTACCATGGTGTCATGGAGTTCCCACTCATGGTCAGTCATGAACTGTGTGCTGAGAAAAGTCTGCAATCACATTGTGTGTCCCTGGGAGATAGGCTGCAGATAACATGATCTGGTGAGTGATGCACCAGTTCCAAAGGGTGACTGCTTCGGAGCAGACCTTGTGCCCCCATTTGTTGCAAAGAGACATGGTGTTGGCCAACATTATGAGAATTTGATGGGAACAGATGAGCAGGAGAAAGGCCTGACATGCCATCCTTACAGCTCAGAGCTCCAGAATGTTGATGTGCATTCTGGACTCCCAAAGAGTCCATGTTTCCTGTGTCATTTGTTCACCCATGTGCGCTCCCCAGCCTACAAGGGATGCATCAGTGATAACTGTCTTGTGCAGGAAGTGAGGGTGGGAAGGGAACCCTTACGTGTTCCCTCTACCAGTGGAGGGATGAGATTACCATGCGTGAGTGTGTGGAGGAGAACTGTGAGCACGCGGTCCATGGCATGATGGTTGGGTGAGTAAACCAACTGGAGCCACATCTGGAGGCAGCGAAGATGCAGATTTATGTGCATGAGGCCATGTGTCCCAGGAAGGATAGGAAAGTCCTGGCTGTGGCTGAAGGACTGCTGACTACATGAGTTATGAGTTCTTGGTAGGCAGGCTTATGAGAGACTGAGTTGATAGTGGCCCTAAAAAGTCTAGGCATTGCACTGGGTTTAAGGTTGATTTTTGGCATTGATATTGACCCAAAGAGAACAAAGGAGGATGAGCAACATGGAAGTTAAAACCTGGGCTTCATGTCTGGACCGTGCTGCCAGAAGCCAGTCATTGACATATGGGAATATGAGGACCCCATAACTCCTGATTTGGGTTGCTACAATGGAGAAAACCTTGGTGAAAACTCTAGGAGCTGTGGTAAATCCACACAGTTTATTAATATATTTAGCACAGTCACAAACACCCCAACTCAGTAAGGTAGATACTACAGAATGTACATTTGCACATCCATAAGAAGTATCGAAAGGAAAAAACAAAACAAACAAACAAACTTTACTTACCAGAAAAGTACTGAAAGCTCAGTCTTCTCCCTCCCCACCCTCCACATGTCCTAGAGACCGTGGCCCATATCCTGTACTCTGCCAGTCTAACAGTCTCTGGCCTTTAATTTGTGACTTCTAAGCCAATTAGAAATGAAAAGTCACTGAGACTTTGACCAGCAACTAACATGTTCCTATAAAAACTGCAGGGGAAGTGCTTTTGGGCACTCTGTCTAGGAGGAAAAGGGGAAGTAGGCAAAATAAATTGCTTCTCACAGAATAATAGGGACCCATAAAAAACAACTAATTACAACCTTGATGTCAAACACATGGATACCTGGGAGATGGTTTGGAATCTGGGGAAGCATGGGCTGTTATAGCAGGGACAAGGGAGAGACAAGAGAGAACATGGGTGGAAATCAAATCAGTATCTTACATGTGTATACTAAAGCAAGTAGAATGGGGTATAAGCAGGAAGAACCCTGTCTTAACCAGGAAATCTTCAATGATCTGAAACTCAAAAAAGAAAAAAAAGAAAAAAAAGTGGAAACTAGGTCAAATTACAAAGCATGAATATAAACAAATAACAGGGACAAAATTAGAAAGGCCAAGGCACAAAATTAGATTAAACTAGCTAGAGACATAAAGGGTAACAAAAAACATTCTACAAATACATTAGTAGCAAGAGAAAGAACAAGATCAAGGTAGACCCATTTTCTCAATGAGGGAGGAAAAACAATAACAGAAAATGTGGAAATGGCAGACATGCTAAATGACTTTTTTGTTTCAGTTTTCACCAAAGAAATTTAGTAGCAACTGGACATCTAGCATAGTGAATGCCAGAGAAAATGAGGTAGGATCAGAGGTTAAAATAGGGAACGAACAAGTTAAAAATTAGTTAGACAAGTTAGAGATCTTCAAGTCACCAGGGCCTGATGAAATACATCCTTGAATTCTCAAGGAGCTGACTGAGCAGATAATCTGAGCCATTAGCATTTATCTTCTAAAAGTCATGAAAGATGGGAGAGATTCCAGAGGACTGGAAAAAGGGCAAATACAGTGCCAATCTATAAACAGAGAAATAACGACAACCTGGGGAATTACAGACCAGTCAGCTTAACTTCTGTACCTGGAAAGATAATGGAGCAAATAATTAAGCAATTAATTTGCAAACACTTAGAAAATAATAAGGTGATAAGTAACCATCAACATGAATTTGTCAAGAACAAATTGTGGCAAACCAACCTAATAGCTTCCTATGACAGGGTAATAAGCCTTGCAGATATGGGGGAAGTGGTATTTCTTGACTTTAGTAAGGCTTTTGATACCATCTCACATGACCTTCTCATAAAAAAACTAGGGAAATACTACCTAGATGAAGCTATTATAAGATGGGTGCATAACTGGTTGGAAAACCATACCCAGAGAGTAATCAGTGGTTCAGTGTCAAGCTGGAAGGGCATAATGAGTGGGGTCCCACGGGGATCGGTTCTGGGTCTGGTTCTGTTCAGTATCTTCATCAATGATTTAGATAATGGCATAGAGAGTATACTTATAAAATTTGCGGATGATACCAAGCTGGGAGAGTTTGCAAGTGCTTTGGAGGATAGGATTAAAATTAAAAATGAACTGGACAAACTGGATAAATGGTCTGAAGTAAATAAGATGAAATTCAATAAGGACAAATGAAAAGTATTCCACTTATGAAGGAACAATCAGTTGCACTCACATAAAATGGGAAATGACTGCCTAGGAAGGAGTATTGCAGAAAGTAATCTGGGGGTCATAGTGGATCACAAGCTAAATATTAGTCAACAATATCACACTGTTGCAAAAAAAGCAAACATCATTCTGAGGTGTATTAGCTGGAGTGTGGTAAGGAAGACAAAAAGTAATTCTTCCACCCTACTCAGTACTGATTAGGTCTCAACTGGAGTACTGTGTCCAGTTTTGGGCATCACATTTCAGGAAAGATGTGAACAAATTGGAGAAAGTCCACAGAAGAGCAACAAAAATGATTAAAGGTCTAGAAAACATGATGTATGAGGGAAGATTGAAAAAATTGGGTTGTTTAGTCTGTAGAAGGGAAGACTGAGAAGGGACATGATAACAGTTTTCAAGTACATAAAAGATTGTTAAAAGGAGGAGGGAGAAAAATTGCTCTCCTTAACCTCGGAGGATAGGACAGGAAGCAATGGGCTTAAACTGCAGTAAGGGCAGTTTAGATTGTACATTAGGAAAAACTTCCTAACTGTCAGAGTAGTTAAGCACTGGAATAAATTACCCAAGGAGGCTGTGGAATCTCCATCACTGGAGATTTTTAAGATCAGGTTATACAAGCACCTGTCAGGGATGGTCTAGATAATACTTAGTCCTGCCATGAGTACAGGGGACTGGACTAGATGACCTCAAGAGATCGTTTCCAGTCCTACGATTCTATGATGTGGCCTTCTCCCAAGCAGTAGAGGCAGGGTTGATGTTCATTGGTGACTGAGAAGGAATGCAAGGCAGAAGGTGTAGATTTTAAAGCCTGGGATCTTCGGCATAGTGCAGTACCCATGTATGGATATGGGTGGGTGGAAGTTTATCAAAAAACAAACCCACAAACTATCTCTTCTACTCTAAATTACTCATCTATCTAAAAACAGAAAGAAAAAAAAGAGAGTGAAAAATCAGTAAAAAACTAACTATATACAACTTTGTTCTTTTGAAAGTGGGTCACATGCAGGAAGACACTAATAGTTCCAACCCAGACCATGTTGCAATGAGAAGGAACTGGAGATGTGGTTGGTCTGCCCCACTCTTTATCACCTTAGATGAAACCAGGTGATGAGTCAGGGCACATGCACGGACTAACAGACACTACTTTCAAATTCTCCAACACACTATTACTGAAAAATTGCTTACTTTCTCATTTTTACCATATAATGATAAAATACATCAATTGGAATATAAATATTGTACTTACATTTCAGTGTATTGCAGAGCAGTATCAACAAGTCATTTTATGACATTTTAGTTTGTACTGGCGTCACTAATGCTTTTAATGTAGCCAGTTGTAAAATTAGGCAAATATCTAGATGAGTTGATGTACCCCTGGAAGATCTCCGAGTACCCCCAGGAGTACACGGTACCCTTGGTTGAGAACCACTGCACTAGATGACCTAGATTAAAATTCTGGTTAAAACTGAACATGAATTTTGTGATCCTGTTCCCAGCAGACATTTCTCACAAATATTCAACACAACTGGCAGGCTAAAGGCCATGGACTAGAGTAGTAGGAAATCTGCAGGTTAGAATTGAAATGCCTTGTGGGAGCCATGTGGAGAAACTTGCACAGTGTCTGCCTGCTCTGTGGCTGGCAATATTTGCCAGTAGCAGTACTATTATTCACATGCAGCAAATTCACATGAAAATACAAATTAAAAGGCAATATTTAATATTATTGTGTAACATGTTCTAACTTTAATTGCCATGAAATGTCAGATAGCTAATAAGATTAACTCAAGTATTTACAGTACCTTGTATGGTATCCTTATGGAAGACATAAGTATATACTTTATCATCATCGTAAGCAGCAAATACACCTTTATCTATTGGCCAATTTTCCCACAGAATGCCTTTAATGGTTGGTGGAAAATTTGGGATCTCATGAACACCATCATTTACCTACAAAAAAAAGTAATGTAAAATTATTTAGTAAGCAGAAAGCCAATGAGACACACTGAATAGTGTGATCAGTTCTGGTCACCCATCTCAAAAAAAGATGTAAAAGTGCTCCAGAAATGGGCGATGAAAATTATTGAGGACATGAAAAGACTTTCATATGCGTTGAAACTGGGAATAGTAGAATTATTTAGTTTAGAGAGGAGATGAATAACGAAAATAATGAATGTTACTAAGAAGTAAATTGGGTTCTCCTATTTGCCTTTCTTATAATACAAGAACTAGGGGACACAGTGAAATACATTTATAACACACATTTGCCTGTGGAATTCTCTGCTAAAGGTGTTGAGTCCAAGAGCATAACAGGCTTAAAATATGAGACATGAATACGGATAATCAGAAAATACACAGTAACATTAGAAAAGATAAAGTAATTATAAACAGATATAAACAGTACGTAAACCAACTGTCTGGGGTTAAGAAGAAATTTTGCCCATGGGCAAGCTTGGTCTGATCTGGTGTGGCGGTTATATGTCCCTATATTATCACTAGGCTATTCCCTCTGCCACCTCACTTTTTTTCTTTTTTGGTGGCAAATCAGTCCAACTGGCACCATACATAAAACACACACTCTACAGTAGAAATAACTTACAGAGAACTTACTGGCACCATACATAAAACACACACCCTACAGTAGAAATAACTTACAGAGAACTCTGTTTGTAAGTAAAGTGGAATGAATGTACTGAATTTACTTACTGGGCAATACACAAAGCCATCACTTTTGTCATCAATGAAAACCAATCTGGTTCCATTGGGGTCTGGATAGATTTTTCTCACACTGACAGGATGCCGATATTCATTCACGTATTTCCAGTCTTCAATGTAGAAATAGTGAATAACACCTGTCTAATAATAAATAATAGAACAATCAGCATACTGGTACTACACAAGTAACTATAATGTAAACAATGTTGAGGTAATTCTTTTTGATGGAGTCACTCCAATGTTACTCCATTTTGGTTTGTCCTATGTTCAAGTGCTAAGTGTGAGGAGTATTTAAGGAAGAGCATTTTCAGTCTCTTTGGCCTTCTTTTCCCATTGGCAGCTGCTCTGGGGGAGATGGCAGGAGAATCTAGGGCGTTTTTTGAGGCAACCTTGATTCCTGTGTGACTATGTTCTCCCGGTTGCCAAAAAGAGGCAAAAGTACTCTTCAATATACTCTGCTAGAACAGAAGAGCAGAAAAAACACGATCTCTGGTCTCGTGGCTGAGCATTTTCCCCCACACAATGCAGCCCTGTAGCAAAGGAAAGCTGCAAAATCAACTCAAAGAAATTTACCTCCTCCCAAATATTTAGAATTTCTGAGCCGAATTGATTAAAAACCATCTAGAAGTGGAATATGGGTTTAGAAAAAGTTTTGGAGAAAAAATGGGAGATTTCCCTATGCCTGTGGTCTGCAGACGAAGGTCTGCTACATTCTACACAGTTCTGGAAGCAGGGAGAATTCGATGGCTCTCTAGAGCAGGGTTTCTCAAACTTCATTGCACCGTGACCCCCTTCTGACAACAACAATTATTACACAATCCTAAGAAGGGGGATCAAAGCCTGAGCCCCACCACCCCAGGCTAGGGGGCCAAAGCCCAAGTCCTGCCATCCTGGCGGGTGCCAAAGCTTGAGGGCTTCAGCCCTGGGAGGTGGGGCTCAGATTTTGCCTTTAGCCCCAGCAAGTCTAACACCAGCCCACGTGACCCCTTTAAAATGGGGTCCTGGCCCACTCTGGGGTCCCAACCCACAGTTTGAGAAATGCTGCTCTAGAGAAAAGGACCTAGCATGTAGTATCCAGAACTATCAAATTTGTCTCTGTCTCCAAATAGCAAGTGTGACACTCTTAGAATCTGTGCACCTACCTTAGACAAAAAAGTGAATTAATTAGTTAATTAATTAATGCTATATTTTAATATGGAGAAATCTTTTAGGGATTCTTTTCATTTTCCTCTTATATGTACAGAAGATATTTTTAAAATCATATAAAATAGCCAATTGTAAAACTCTTACACACCCGATTGTTCAGCTGTGAATTCAGTATCTTATATTAAATCAGTAACATCTTAAAAAAATAATTTAAAAAAATGAAATAACCAAACAGCCCAATAATTAATTTCAAAAATCACTAATGAACTTTTAACTATGTTACTAAGCCAATGATGGTGTTGGAGACTGAAACACTACCTTTCCTTTGGAAACCCAGCATATCATCTTATGCAGAGTAATTAAGGGCTCAATCCTTTGAAGTACTTTGTGCCCTGAACTTCCATTGAAATCAGTAGCAGTGGAACGTATTCAAAACCCCACAGGAAGTGATCATCACTTCAAAGGTTTGAGCCCATGGGATATTGAAGCTCTAACATCTCACTCAAAGGTCTTTTACAGGGCAACAGAATGTGCTACTGAACCATTAACTGGCCAAAAGGTTGTACATTTTCAAAACTTTTTCTTTGATAAAATGAACAAGAAAATTATTTACTTTGTGGTTTACAGTGGAAATAATATCACTACTATAAAATAAAGGAACAGAAGCTCTTCTGACAGTTTTAAAATGTACTAACAACTGTGCATGATCTTCTAAAGAAAACAATTCATACAAGTGCCAGACAATTTTTTTTCTACTGCTTGTAATTTCTCTCATCTCTCTGCCTGATCATCTTGGTAATTCTAGTTTAGCTTCAGTTCAAAAACTTACATTAAAAATTGTGAGGAAGTTGTGGGTTGTGCCAACACATCCTTTGGTTTTCATATACCTGATGCCAGCCCAGATAATGATGTGTGGCTGTTTATCATCACTTCATTCATTTTCCAAGGTGCTTCTTCTGTTCCTTACACTCCACCAATGATGTCAGCCTTGACACACTGTATGTCCACTAACAAACAACTTTCTCAGAACTCCATTTCACATCACTCCCAATATATGAAATGTATTTCATGAGCTTGTCCTCAAAGCCACCACCCTCTCTTCATTCAAATCCCTCTGATACAAGAGATTTTTCAGCTGCTCTATTCTGTGTAAGGAATAAGGCATTAAGAACATTGCCCTGCCATCACTAGCTGAAGAATTGAAATTAAACTTATTTAAATTAGTAAAAATTGGAGTCTTGACAGTGAATCCTAATGTTAAGATGCATATAAATGTGTAACTGTTTATTGTTATACGGGTTTAATAACTAAGAAAGACAGTTTTAAGAGGTTACAGCCAGGGATAACAAGATGGTGGTCGCAGGTAATCACAGCCAGAGAAACTAAAAGGGTGGTCTTGGAGTAATTTGGCCTATAGCAAACAGGCAGTCTGAGGTGAGATAAAGATCACTCCAAAACTTGAAGGGAGGGGCCAGTTGAGCATGGCACAGGTTTTCAACCAGGTCCAGCATTAATTGACAGATGAACTTAGCAGCTGTGATTGGTTTATAAGAACGGACCAATCAGAGTAGGCTTAAAGATGACTGGAGGAAAGGTATGCTAACAAGAAGGACTGAGGCAGTAACCAATCAGAATAGGCCAAGAAGTGTGTATAAGGCAGAAACTGAGAAGCTTGAGTGTGTGTGTTTGTCATTCTCAGAGACCGTTGGAGTGCGAGAGCAGAAGGAAGAGAGTTTGTCAGCAGGAAAAGCCAGAAGAAGCAGGAAGAGAGCTGAAATCACTAAAAAAGGGAAGAATAGGGCTAGGGGTTTGTTGTGGCAGACCAAACAATCACACAGAGGTGTAATGTCAACAGACCCAGGTTATCAGGAGGTGGGACTGAACATGGGACCTCTGGAGCTTAGTGCATGATCCTCTACTGCATGAGCTAAAAGCCATCTGGCTGCTAGCTAAGGCTGTAGAGCAGACTCATTTTATCTCTCTCTCTCTAAGTGGCCTCGGTGCCACTAGATGGGACAAAACACCACACCCAGGAGGTGTGTCGGTTACAGAGGCAGTAGCAGAGAAGCAATGACAGGAGCAGCAGCTAAGAAGTAGCTGTGACAGAACAGAAGGACCATTTGACAGATCTGAGGGAAAGAAGACTGCAGAGAAGTAAGCATGACGACCAGGGTATAAGAAGAAAATAGGATATATGAGTCTGTATGCCTGAGATACTAAAGTTGGATGTTTGTGTATATATGTTTGTTACTATGTATACAGTTTTAATATTTAAGTAAGAACTTGCTGTCAGCATCCTACATGTGACTGATCACTGCAAGTAGAATGTAACCACTTAAATATATTTCTGGTTGCATGATACACCTCTACCCCCATATAATGCGACCCGATATAACACGAATTCGGATAGAACGCGGTAAAGCAGTGCTCCGGGGGGCAGGGCTGCGCACTCCGGCAGATCAAAGCAAGTTCGATATAATGTGGTTTCACATATAACGCGGTAAGATTTTTTGGCTCCCGAGGACAGCGTTATATCGGGGTAGAGGTGTACTACGGTATTGGGTACTTTGATGTGCATACTTTTGCTAATAGAATTTGTGTTTATTTCTTGATATATGCTTTTAAGATTTATTGTTATCAGAGAACACTGATACATTAAATAAAGAATATTTTCGTTTTCAAAGCTTACTGCCTGAGTGTCAATCCTTGGAGCAGAAGGCTGTATCGGTGTACTCTCAAAGGTCAACAGAATTAGTCTGTTCTGGGGAGTTTTCCAAAGCTCAGAGGGAAAAACCTCTGGTAAAACCCTGACAATTCCTCTAGGGCGGGTCACCTCCTTTCACCTACTAAAACCAGACAAATTGATGATTGATTTACTGATATAGGCAAGCCATTGTGGAGAGTCCTGAGTCTTATTTTTGGGGGCAACACCTTGTGAAGACACACTTCTAAAGCAATGTCTACAAGAAACTCTCTTTTTAATAGTACAAGGTTGAGGGGCAACTCTAGATATACAGACAATTTACAAACAAAGCCAAACAAACTAAAAATCATTTTATAGGTTAGGATGTGGCTAATCATTACTTTGGTAACATAAGAATAGCCCTACCGGGTCAGACCAAAGGTCCATCTAGCCCAGTATCCTGTCTTCCGACAGTGGCCAGTGCCAGGTGCCCCAGAGGGCACCCTTTAATCCCTCCAGTTTGTATGTCTTTTTAGACTGTGAGCTGTTGGAGGCAGGATCTGTGCCTTTATGTTTGTAAAGGGGATGGGATGTGGTGGATGCTACTCCTATGCAGTTGTCACATAATAGTTCCTCATAATCTAGGTTATCTTTTTCCTTCAGGTCTGTAAGGTTCCTAGCACAATGGGGCCCTAATCGTTGATAGATGCCCCTGGGCACCACTGTAATACAAATAAATAATATTAAATTCAATATCAGTTTTGCCAATGACTTCAATAAAAGCAGGACTTGGTCTTCAGTTACGAAGCTGGGCATCAATCAAAACCAACTGAACCACTGTAATGTGCCAGTGCAACTGCATCACATACAGGCCTAAATAATTAAGGAAGCTGGCTGAAATTTTGTTTCTATTTGCCTAAAATATAGCTTGCATACAAAGTAAGTCTTGGTACACTGCATATCAGAACCATACACTTTATGCCTATTGTATGAAGAGAAATAGTCCAAGTAATCAAAAACAGAAACTTATTGAATCTAAGAAGAACTTGAGACAAGCAATATACTTACATCTGTACCATAGATGAGGAAATCACCAGTAAGAGCATGGCACAAGATTCGACATTTATCATCCACCGCTGGGAAAAGTCGAGTCTCTCGTTCTTCCTGAGCATCCAAACCTTCACCTTCTATCTAAAGCATAAGGAATAACCAAAACTGAAACCACCACCACCACCAGCAAGATATTAATGAATTTTGTCTGTATGAAGCAGACACTAAGGCACCACCCTAGCTGTTATAACTAGCTCAGATTTGCCCTTTCATATGTACCATTTACAAACCACTAGCTGCTCCCCTAAGACCCCATACAGAACTTTCAAAGAAAGCTTGTTAAACACCTCATAAGCTAGCACTTTCTTCTCATCCACTGCCACTTCAAGACAGAATGTACACTTCTGCAAGCCACCTGTAACTCAGTTGTTCTCATGTTTGCTACTAAAATAATTTTTGGAAGGTTTTTAACTCTTACCTCGGTTAGTTACATCTCCTCACCCACTCAGCACCTAACTTCCACTCAGACCAATCTTACTACCATTAGGACTCAATTTCTTCCTCAGTCTATTGCCACCTCAATTCAGCTGGCCTTTCAGAGTTCAAAATCTTCTGTATACTTACCATATGCAACTGGACTTTACCCTCAAAGAGTGCAGCAGCATAGTCAGAATTAAGATATATACTGGTTACTGTCCCCAGATACTCCATGTCTTTAAGCTTTTTTACACCTACAGAATTTAAAGGGGAAGGGAGGGGGGGGAAAAAGATAAATTATGCATGGTCCATTTTCTGTTCTTCTTACCTACCTGAGTAATTCATAATAATCTAAGAGGGCAGGAGAGTAAAAGGTGAAGAAGTAGGAGGAACTCTTGACAGAAACATGGGAGACTATGAGAAAGCAGCTGCATCCTTATGTTACTAAGGGTTAAAAGGGACCCTCTTTCCCCAACGAAACCTCACAAACCTACGGTTAGTCCATCTAGGACTAATGCTGGACTTTTTTCCCTTTAGAGTGATCTTTTTATTCATAAAAGATTTTGAATTGACAAGTACTGAGACTTAAGTCTGTTGCCTAAAAAAAAACAGGTATAGCACAAGCTTTTCTACTCTGCCCCACCAATCCAGCTAAACTCTGGATGGAACACCTATAGGAATTTGAGAATAGTTTAGTCTCCATGTTTATGCAGTCTTGGCCTCTCTGCTAGGACTGCCAATATGGACTGAGACCATCTACTAATTTTACATAAGCCAAACAACCTTCAGTTGGTAGTGACTTTCAGGCAACAACAGCATGAGCTGCGTTTGACCTGATGACAAAGAATGAAAGGCTTCATTCAACCCTGGAAATCATGAATTTTTGTTCTAATTGCCTCCACAATGTCTTGTTTGTACTAATCCAAATTCTGGGAATCCAATGTGCAGTCCTGAATTTTGGTGTCCCATCAGATTATACAATAACAACACCTTGCACTAAGTAGGATATTAGAAGAGTTAAACAAAACGCCTGTTTTATAAAATGGACATATATTTAGCAGATAATGGATGATAAGATACTTTAAAATAAGAGAACTACAGTCATACTTACTATTCTCTCCAAGTACATAAAACCAAGCACGATTATTCATTCCTACAGCCAAATGATAAAGACCTACTGCAACAAAGTTTGGCTCCACTTCAACAGAAACTGTGATTGGTAGCTCCTATAAGAAAATCACACCAAATTTTCTCATTGTTACTACTTATTTAAAAGTTACATCTAAATTAAGTGAAAAATTAATAGGCTAGCATACTGCTTCAACATGATTGGCCACAGTAACTTCAAGAAGAGAAGTGAGGTACGCAATCCGTGTACAGCAAGCATCTCCAAGGATTGGAAGCTTTGTCAAGAAGACGTGGAGTGAGCCTCTTTGTGTAGACACTGCCAACAACTGCCCATCATCTGTCCAAGCCAGGTGATCTAGACCTAAAATATTGAGAAGCTTTTACAAGAACAACAAAAATAGCTACTTGGTTGTCAGTAAAATCCACAAACAATTCTATTGTTTTTAAAATGCAACCATGTCAAGGTTTCATTACTTAACAATATTTTTTCTAGGGTTGTCAATTAATCGCAGTTAACTCACGCAATTAACTAAAAGAAAATTAATCGCAATTAAAAAAATTAATCGCGATTAATCACAGTTTTAATTGCACTATTAAACAATAGAATACGAATTGAAATTTATTAAACATTTTGTATGTTTTTCTACATTTTCATATATATTGTATTCTGTCTTGTAACTGAAATCAAAGTGTATATTATTCTTGATTACAAATATTTGCAGTGTAAAAGATAAGCAAAAGAAATAATAAAAAGCAACAGAGAGTCCTGTGGCACCTTTAAGACTAACAGATATATTGGAGCATAAGCTTTCGTGGGTGAATACCCACTTCGTTAGATGTCTTAAAGGTGCCACAGGATTCTCTATTGCTTTTTACAGATCCAGACTAACACGGCTACCCCTCTGATAAAATAAATAGTATTTTTCAATTCACCTCATACAAAGTACTGTGTCATGAAAGCGCAATTTACAAATGTAGATTTTTTTTGTTACATCACTGCATCCAAACACAAAACAATGTAAAACTTCCAAGCCTACAAGTCCACTCAGACCTACTTCTTATTCAGCCAATCGCTAAGACAAACAAGTTTGTTTACATTTATAGGAGATAATGCTTCCCTCTTCTCATTTACAATGTCACCAGAAAGTGAGAGCAGGCATTTGTATGGCACTTTTGTAGCCGGCATTGCAAGGTATTTACGTGCCAGATATGCTAACCATTCGTATGCCCTTTCATGCTTTGGCCACCATTCCAGAGGACACGCTTCCATGCAGATGATGCTTGTTAAAAAAATAATGTGTTAATTAAATTTGTGACTGAACTCCTTGGGGAAGAATTGTATGTCTCCTGTTCTGTTTTACTCACATTCTGCCACGTATTTCATGTTGTAGCAGTCTTGGATGATGACCTAGCACATGTTCATTTTAACAACACTTTCACAGCAGATTTGACAAAATGCAAAGAAGGTACCAATGTGAGATTTCTAAGGATAGATACAGCACTTGATCCAAGGATTAAGAATCTGAAATGCCTTCCAAAATCTAAAAGGGACGAGGTGTGGAGAATGCTTTCAGATGTCTTAAAGGAACAACATTCCGATGTGGAAACTACAGAACCCGAACCACCAAAAAAGAAAATGAACCTTCTGCTGGTGTCATCTGACTCAGATGATGAAAATGAACATGTGTCGGTCTGCTCTGCTTTAGATCATTATCGAGCAGAACTCGTCACCAGCATGGACACATGTCTTCTGGAATGGTAGTTGAAACATGAAGGGACAGCTGAATCTTTAGCATATCTGGCATGTAAATATCTTGTGACGCCTGTTACAACAATGCCATGCAAATGCCTGTTCTCACTTTCAGGTGACATTGTAAACAAGACGTGGGCAGCATTATCTCCTGCAAATTGTAACCAAACTTGTTTGTCTGAGCGATTGGCTGAAGTAGGACTGAGTGGGCTTGTAGGTTCTAAAGTTTTACATTGTTTTGTTTTTGAATGCAGTTATTTTTTGTACATAATTCTACATTTGTAAGTTCAACTTTCACGATAAAGAGATTGCAATACAGTATTTGTATTAGGTGAATTGAAATATACTATTTCTTTTGTTTTTTACAGTGTAAATATCTGCAATCAAAAATATAAAATGAACATTGTACACTTTGTATTCTGTGTTGTAATTGAAATCAATATATTTGAAAATTTAGAAAACATCCAAAAATATTTAAATAAATGGTATTCTATTATTGCTTAACAGTGTGATTAATTGCATGATTAATTTTTTTAATTGCTTGACAGTCCTAATTTTTTCACACCCTTTGTACTTAAGTATAAAAACCTATGTAGAATGGAACAGAAATAGTTTATCATCACAGACCATAACCTGCTAATTAGGTCTTAATTTCATAGTGAATTTTATCGAAATTCACAATAAATGAATCCAATATTGAAATAGGAGGTAACAGTGGCAGGGACTCCTGCTCCAGAGATATACATACTCTTAGCACAAGAACATGCCACTCAGAAAAGCAAAACGGGAAAAAATAAACACATTATTATTTTAGTAATTTGAATATACCATGCTATGGATTCAAAAATACTGGACAATCAACTGTTTTGAAAAACAGGATCTCTATGTGTTTTGTAAAAAAAACAAAACAAAAACAAAACACCCCGAAAGCTACGTTAAATACCCAGTTTGGCAAACAGACCACCTCATAATACATACACATTGGAAAGGAGGGAGTTAACAATAGTCTATATTTAGACAGCTTTTCAATAAATATTCTTCTCTGTACATTCCCTCTTGTAAACATATTAATGTAAACAAAATTCTGTTTTACAGCTTTGGAAACTTTATCATACCTTTATTTTCATCATCCAGGTTTATTATAGCATACATTTCTTTCAGTTCTGACAGGTCATGAATCTTAATGCTAAAACAAAATATAAACAGTCACTACCTTTACTAGTACTATCATCCTAACCATCATGAACTGAAAGTAGTTAGTGAAGAGAGATAAGCTCATTATGGAGAAAAAAGGGAGAATGCAAAGTGCAAACTACAAATATGTAGTTTTTGAAAAAACAGACACTGTCAACCTAGACGTTATATACTTTAAATTAATTTTTACTTGGCTTCCTATACACTCTCTCTCTCTCACACACACACACACACACACACACACACACACACACACGAGAAATATTAAACTGAAATAATTTCCCAAATCAAATGTGTCTGACTCCTTGTATGCATTTTAGTTTTTGCACTGAACACTGAGGCTGGTTGCATAGACGTCATGTTATTTATATGATCATAGAGTGCTCTTCCTGGACACTGGGAGAATGCCAGACTGATCCATCCTCTCATGGGACAAAAATATTGAGAAATGGAAGAGAAACTTCTCCGTTCAGGACTTCAAGGATGGGAAAATAACACTACCCTTTCACATGTGGCTCTGTCATGATACACTCATGTGCACACATAGAAGCACCTGATGGGCTAACACTGAATCATGGACCTAAGCAACTCGTCCCTGGGCCACAAACACTAACATCAGTTAAAAGTTGCTAGATTCAGAGCGCAGGAGCATGAAGTCTTTGTGTTGCTACTGCACTGTGGAACTTTCCTACCCTGCTGCACCACTTGCTTAACCCTATTCTGGAGGGATTATCCCTAAGTAAATTACCTTACAATAACTGGAATCCTTCAAGATGTGCTGTCCATATATATTCTACTCTTGGTGAGCATGTACCCCATGTGCTTGATATTGGCTCTTTTTGCCAGCTGTATCTTCTGGACAGGGACGGATTAAGACCTTTAGAGGCCCTAAGCACTGAAAAGATTATGGTGCCCCCCATATGTAATTCAAAATAAAAACAATACTATATCATAAAATAAAATTTTAATTTTCGAAATGACATAAAACTTACATGTATGCTGAAATTAAAATAGCTTCTTTCTAGATTTTCTGATTGCAAAATTCTGGATAAGTTCATCGAAGCTGACTCGATGAAGCATGTCTGCTTCCATACACAATAAGGAAAGTGAATCAAGTCTGTCCTGACACATTGTTGTTCTCTGAGGGTTTTTTATTCTTTTCAGCTGAGAAAAAGAGCGTTCTGCAGAGCAGTTAGTAATCGATGTTAGAAAAATACGTAGTGCGATCTCTACATTTGGAAATACACATTGTATTCCGTCTTTCTATATGGCATATTTGTTCTGTTCTAAAAGCTACTTCTGCATTCCTTGATAACGCCCTGATATGTTGGCAGCGTTGTCATAAGATTGACCTCTGCACTTTGAGAAATCTATTTTGCAAACTTGGCACAGATAATGCAGTACTTGATTTGCCATTTCTTCACCAGTGTGGCTTTTCAAATTGAGGAATGTTATAAATCGTTCAACTGGTTTTCCATCTGTGGGAGACACATATCTTAGTACAATACTCAATTGATCAATATGTGAAAGATCAGGTGTAGAGTCGACAGATAAACTGAAGTACCCAGCAGTACTTATTTCATCCATAATAGCTGAATGAACTTTGTCACTCATTAGACCAATGAGTTCATCACATATTGTCTTGGATAAGTATGATGGGTTACCTTTGCTAGCATTCCCATATTTTGAGATATGGCCTGCTAAAAATGGGTCAAACTGAGCCACAAGCACCAACAATCCCAAGAAATTTCCATTCTGCAATGATCCAAATGTGTCAGACCACGTTCAGCTAATGTTTGAACAACAGCTATAACACGCTGCAAGACATGTTGCCAGTATTCACGCTCCCCTTTAATTTGTTCTTCCAATTTTTGTGTCAATCCAAAGCCCTGGCTTCGATTTAAATATGTCAACACTGAATCTCTGTGAGTAGTGCTATTTTCATGTTGTTCAATTAAAACAGTATTCCGCCAGTCACTAAATCCATCTGCAGCAAACCAGGATGTTGAAGGTTTATATGCAAAAAGTTTGCAAACAAAACAGTACACAGACCCTGTTGATGGTGAATATAGTAGCCATTCTTGAGTGTATTTCTCTTTCTATTCGCTTTCATGCCGAAAAATATTTTTTGTGGACAATATCTTGTTTGTTTGCCATTGGTAAAAGTCCGACGTGATTTCTCAAATGGCCCAGTGTGGTGTTGACAGTCATTTGGTCCACGATCTATCCAGTAAGCTACATCATCAGTACTGAAATCAACCCACATACCAGGATCTTTTCTCCTATTATTTACAGCATGATCAGGTTCAGTCTCTGACACAGCCACATCTTCTAGAACAATGTCTGTTTTACCACCAAGAGTAGGATGATCAGTTACAGTCTCTGATTTCCTTGCATTATTTCTATTTATCTATGTTAGTAGGATGCCCCCCTGGTTTAGGTGGGGATAAGTAATGAAAAGAGAACAGAAAAAAGGGGGAAGAGTGTGTAGTGGAGTGTAAAGAAGTCTAACAAAGTTCTGATTTTTCTCATGATGACTACTTCAATGCTTTTTTTGAAATATCGAATATCAAATTTGAAAAAAAAAAAACTCTTTTTTTTGGTGCCCTCTGCTTTGCTGGTGCCCTAAGCACGTGCTTAGTCTGACTATTGGGTAATCCAGCCCTGGTTCTGGGGCCACACATGTTCCTTAAGTGTCCACATGCTCCAGGACTGAGGGCACAATGGGCAGTGTGCCCAACTGCCACTTAGTTCCTTTGCCATCACAGACTCCAGGTGTTATAGGATTCCATAGTAGCAGGGAAGGAGGGAAGGTTGTGGAATATATATGGACAACATATGTCAAAGAACGCCATTTACTGTAAGTAACTTTTCTTTCTTTGAGTGCTTGTCTACATATATTCGACTCTTGGTGACTCACAAGCAGTAACCTAATGTAAGGAGGTGGGTGCTTGGAGTCTACTTAAAGATTGCAGCACTGTTCTGCCAAAAGAAGCATCAGATTTCAATGCTTCCACAAGGTAATGGAAGTATGAACTGTATAAGTATGAACTGAACCCCACGTAGCTTCCCTGCAGATGTCTGGAATGGATATAGTTTGCAAAGAAGCTGCAGAGGCTGCCTGGGCCCTGTAGAAAGAGCCTTAATCTCAGCTGGAGGATATAAACTAGCTAGCTCATTACAGCCCTAATACATTACAGCCCGATATTCTGAGCTTGTATCACTTGACTCTTCATTCTGTCAGCAAATGCTATCTTGTGGAAACTCTGAAAGTTCTGGACCTTTCCAAAAAAAGATCCTACAAACATCATGGACTGCAAGCTGAGAAATCCTAGGTCCCTGGGAAGATGTAGGAGAGGAGGTTTTACTCTGGATGGTGGTGCAGAAGTGTGGTGCCTCATATGATGAAGACCTCAGGTGTTTCAAAAGGGCCATAATGGAACATTACATGGAAAAGGTCCTGGGGGCCAGAGAGAAGGGGACCAGGGCATATGTCTACTCCCATACCCCCTATATGATACAGGCATGAATGAAGCCCTTGACTCTCTTTCAGACGTATAAGGATCAAATGAGGGGGTCCTTGGTGAATATGTAGGGGATCCCTCCCTGTTGTGTTGGGAATTTGATGAGAAGCAAGAGCACTCCAGATCTAAGTGGGAGGCTGCTGAAGCTAGTGTCCTAGGTTGCAACATTAACCTGCATTGAGCAGACCACCCAGTACTGACATTGTCATTCTGGTGGGGAAATTTAGCTCTGTGTAAAATTCTGGCTCATCAGGATATGAATATCCTTTGATACAGCATGCTTCTTCACTATGGAGAAAGATGGTGCCTAACCTCGGTGTGGGGATGGATAGCACCAGGGTGGATTGTGCTGACATGTCCAGGGCTAAAGTACTCGGTGTCGAAGGAAACAGTACCAAAGAGACTGGTATCAAAAAGGGTTGGTGCAGCAAGAGTTGGTGGCGGAGCACTTGGTTTTGAAGTAGCCCCGATGCTCTGGTCTCACAGAGGCAGCTAGTTTTGATTCTTGAGATGGTGCTAGAGTTCTGGTAACTTGCCCCCTCAGAGTTCCAGAGCTACTCAACTCAGACGAAGGAGTCTCTTTAGATTGGGAGTGGAGAAGGAACTTGGACCTCTTTTTACTAGGAATTCCCAGCAGGGATCTGCCCCTGCTCTTCCCAAAGGAGCGATGCTCCTTTTTCTCCAAGGTTCTGACCTTTTCAGTTCTACCCACATCCATAGCTGGGACAGTCTTAGAAGATGGGGCCCACAAACTAGAGTAATTGAAACTCATATAGGCTAGACTGAAAGCAAACCTGCCTGGGGAAGGAGGGGGTTCTCCCCATCCTGGATCAGAGGCAGGCTGCATAGAGCAGTCAAATAAAAACAGATTAAGGTGTGCCTCTCTTGCCTTCAAAGTTCTTTTAGAAAAAGGACTTGCATTTATCAGGGATGTGACCTTCCCCAACCAAAAACGCATATGGGATATCCATCATTAACTGATCACGGCACCTCACAAGAGGAGCAATACATAAAGCCAGGCAACTTCAGATGAGACCTAAGCCTTGGTATTAGGAAGAAGCTCCTGATAAGAGAGAAAATGAAAAGAAAACAAGGAAGTAAACTACCAAACCTTGCCAACAGGCAAACTATCCTAACTAACAATAATATAGACAACAATCCACAAAAAGTTGATGAAAATTGTGTCAAGACACTAGGGAGCTATATCTCACAGATATGGGCAATGGTGAAGGAACTGAGTGGCACTAGGGCCTGCAAAACCCGTAATGCCTTTGGTATGTGAGCAGAATGACACTCACAGCGCCTGTGCAGCCCCAATGGACACTGCTGGCCAAAAGACTCCAATCTTGAGTGCCTGGGATGTATATGCATTAACAGTGGAATATATATGGACAGGCACTGAAGAAGAATGAGAGGATCACATTCAGTCTCCATATCCATTCAAACCCTGGCCTTTCTGTTGAGATTGCCAGTAAGGGTTCCAATTAGTAACAAATGTGGTGGTGGTTTTGGTGAGTCAGATCCTCATCTACTAGAGACTGGACTCATTTTAATTAAGCTACGGAATAACCACCATGTGGAAACAACTGAATATGAAAGTGGGATGGATTTAAACTAGTGATCTAGAGTTGAAAGACTCAACAGCTTAGTACTCAGCTCTTTATACCCTCTGATGGTTGATGCTATAGTGCTGTGTCTTTGGATTCCAACTGTTGTGCCCTTTAGTTTTTGCATAATGTGAATGGCATGCATTACCACTCTGGTTTCAAGACATTGATCAAGGAAGCGCTCTCTGCCAAAGACTGATATCCTTGTGCCACCTGGATGGCAGGTCTAGTTTTATTATTTGCTTTACAGTAGCCATTGCTGAGGCCCCAACCATGATTAGCTTAGTTAGAATATAAACTCTAGCCGGCAGGGGCCACCCTTTGGGGTCCATCCAGCTAATGCCTAACATAATGCAACCCTGAACTCTGGGTCAGAGGTCTTTAGGTGCTACTGTAGTACAAATAATAAATATTTATAATCAGGACTCCGTTGTGCTAGGTGTTGTACAAATACATAGTAAAAGACATGCAGACAATTAATCTGTCTGTTTGCTCACAGTGTGAAAATCCAACTCTCACTTTAGGCCCATCATAGAAATTGAGATTATCTTCTTGTCTATTTCTGAGATAAAACTCTTCAAGGATGGTGGCATGGTCTCTCAGTTGAGGGTCCCAGCCTTTGAAAACTGTTCCAGACAGTGGTTTGCCCAAGCCAGAGTTTGTTTAGCTTCAGAGCAGGATGCATGCATTTTAGCTTGTTCTAAAGAAGTCAAGTTTTAGACATCAAACAAACGGAGGGACTGTCTACACACAGTATTTGTACCACTATACTGGTTTAAAAATAGACACAGTTAAAATAGTACAACCTCCCCCCTCATGTGGGCCCAGTTATACAGTTGATATAACAGTCCTCACATCAATATAACTTATTTCTGTAAATTCAGCTATACTGATATAAACACCTTTATACTGAATAATTGCATCCACACTTTTAACTATGTTGGTTTCTAAACAGATATACCGTTATGCTGTTACAAAAATGGTGTGCAGATCAACCCTTATTATCCCATAAATGGGTTAAATTTTCTCAATAGCACATGAAGTGGATTAGATGAACAATTCCTACTACTGCTAACAGGCATTCTGTGTCTAATCTGTAGCACACAATAATGAAAGTATGTCACTAACACTTTTGTATTCAAGTATCACATTAGCCAATACAAAATAAACAAGATATCAAAAGTTAGAACAACGAAGAAAATAAATAATAGTGTTTGCTTTAAGACACTTGCTATTTCAGACATTTTATAAACAAATATGATCACTTACCAGTTGTCTCCACATGATGCAGCTTTGTTTAGTGATTGTGATATTGCAATGCTGGTTAGGTTATCCTTATGATTGCGAGCTTGAAAAACCTCTTGACCAATCTCACGAATGTGTGTAGAAATAACAACAAAGCACCCACGTGAGAAGCCAATCATGATGTAGCCATCACCATACCTATAGCAAAACCAACATTTAAAGAGAGAGATGGCTGGGCAGCCTGGCTGCATAGAAAGTAACGCAATATGAGAAAAAACTCCTGAGCAGGATGAAAGTCAGATTGCTGAAGAAAGAAAGACAGAAATGCATTGAGTCTTCCTACAACAGATATAAAAATACTTGTTGGTGAGAGCAGTGTCTAGATCTCTCCTCATTGAGGTCCTCACCATAGGAAAACAGCAGACAGGAGGCTCCAGGGAGCAGCTTGGCTAGGGGCGGCTCCAAGGCAGGGAAGGGGGGTGGGGCAGGAGCAGCAGTGGATGCAGACAGCAACAGAGCAGAGCAGCAGGGGGGAGGAGGGGCACCCCTGCTCCGGAGACACCCTCTTAGCCATTGCCCAGCCCACCCAACCCTAAGGCCAGCCCTGCTGGGTTTGGTACTAGTCAATATTTTCATTAATACTTGGATAATGGAGTGGAGAGTATGTTTACAAAATCATGAGGGCTGAGGAATGGGGTGGGGGCAGAGCAGGGGACATAGAGGAGCGGTGGCTGGGGCCAGAGCAGACCTGCGGCTGGAACTGGGATTGGGGCGGAGTGGAGCTGCAGCTGGGGCCGGAGCTGGGCTGGGAATGAAGCGGGGCTGGGTGGTGCTCCCTCCCCGCCCCCTGTGGGAACTGGCCCGGGCCCCACCATGCACTCCCTGAACATTCCTCCATGTCCCCCTAGAGGGGCATGCCCCACAGTTCGTGGACCACTGCTTTAGTCTGAAAGGAATATTGTATTAAAAAGATACTTTATAAACCCAAAAATCCTCATGTGATAATGGGATAATTACCAGAAATGAAAATAAATTAGAAAGATAAAAACCTCAGGTTTTTCTTGCAATATTAAGAAGTTAGTGCAGGGGTCGGCAACCTTTCAGAAGCGGTGTGCCGAGTCTTCATTTATTCACTCTAATTTAAGGTTTTGTGTGCCAGTAATACATTTTAGCATTTTTAGAAGGTCTTTCTATAAGTCCATAATATATAACTAAACTATTGTTTTTTGTAAAGTAAATAAGGTTTTTAAAATTTTTAAGATGCTTCATTTAAAATTAAATTAAAATGCAGAGCCCCCCCGACCGGTGGCCAGGACCCGGGCAGTGTGAGTGCCACTGAAAACCAGCTCATGTGCCGACTTCGGCATGCGTGCCATAGGTTGCCTACCCCTGAGTTAGTGCTTGCTCACCATCTATAGGTTACAATGTTGCCATAGCGTTGCTGGAATTCCAGATCAATTGGGTTATCAGGATCATTCAGATTAAAAAGAAACAATGTTTTCTTGCCAACCACCACGCTTACCTGCCAATTGACAAAGTGAAAAACACACCCAGTGAGAACGCCATTTTAAAATAAAAACACTACTGTTTTTACTAAAAGACGAAGCTTTTATCCTTCAGAATTCAGTTCAAGGTCTGGTTCCACTGGTCAAGTTATAACATAAAATCAAAGGATACTGCGTTTTTTAGGATGCAGAGAATTGTCATCCATAGAGTGCAGGGAAACAGTATCACAGCTCTGGTGGCTAATGTTAGTCAATGATATAAACAAAGCTTCTAAACAGATAACATTTCTAAACATAAAAAATATTTAATCATGTAATGAAATTTCCTTAAAAGCTATTCAAGTAATTTTAAAATGATTTCCTTAAAAATTATGAAGACATACAATTTAATATCTATCTAGATAAATGCTTTTTATTTGAGGAAATCCACAGAGATGATGGATTTTGTCTCAGTTTTCAATGCTCTCTTTTTGCATTCTCTGGCGACCAAATAAATAGCATTACTATCAGACAAAGTAGAAGCTAGCTCAATGCAGGGTAACACAGGGAAGGGAGGAGATCATCAGAAAAAAGAGGCTTATTACTATAACACCTATAACAAGAAAACAAGGAAGAACTTGTTTTATGTCTCATGCTTTGTGTTTGCTTGGATTGACAAGAATATTAAACAAAAAGGTTATTTTCTATCTTAATTTAGATCATTCTCTTTTTGCCCTCAGTCTAAAAGTGAAGCACTATTCATGCTAACGCCTATTTTAGGAGTATTAAAATACTAATAAACCCCTTCCCCCCTAACCCTGTTTCTTAACATATTTGGGGGAAAAAACAAGCCCCAGTGCAAACCCCAAAAACGGTAATAGCTGATAACAAGAGATTTGAGTTTCCCCAAAGTCTGAGTGTGTGTGAATCCAAAGATTTGGCCTCAGCCCATCTCTAGTCATAACCTCTTAAAGCATTTAGTTCTTAAATGTGAGTACCACTAGTCATCGTAAGAGCTAAAGGTCTGAAATGTTTAAGAATTACTATTATTTTAAGCTCTTCTTCTAAAGATACCACAGCAACTTTACTTTAGTTTGTAGTATAGTTTGTTTATTTTAATCAAATTAATTCTTCCTTTTCAGATAATGCCATCTCAACCTTTTAAGTAATATTGTATGCTAATGTGGCAGAGACAGGTAGGGCATTCTGTTTACATTCAGAACAATATCTGAGATGTGCTGAATGGTGTTGTGCATTGGTTTCATACAGTCTGCTTACTGTGCTTTCCCTGGTTGATATTCTTTCATCAGTCTTCATCACTGAGAACTGCATATCACTGGGATCCGATCTCACTGAAGTCTGCGAGAAGGAAGTCCAGATTCAGATATTATTTATTTATGTAGCACAGTGTGCCAAGCACTGCACAGATAAGGTAAGAGGACACTTTTCCTATCTAGAATATTTTGGGTGTTAATGCAATATAAATAAATAAATAAATACATACATACATACATAAATAATTACAACCATTCCACTATTCTCCCTTTATTCACAACTCCAACATCCTTTCTTCATTAATAACAGAAGAAAAAAGAAAAGAAAAAGAAAAGAAAGGAAAGGAAAGGAAAGGAAAGGAAAGGAAAAAGATAAGTTTTGATCATGTTGAGCTTGAATTGCCAGGGAACATCCAGGTTTAGATGTCTAAAAGGCAGTTACAGATGCAAGTCTAAATAGAGATGAACAGGCAGATCTTCATGTTGTTTTGTAGACAGGGTAGTAACTGAAGTGGCGTGACCAATTGAGGTCATGCAGCAAAAGAATGTAGTGGGAAAAGAAGACAGGGCCAACATTTAAAGACAAAAGCGGATGAGATGAAACAAGCAGCCCTGTCTACTCACCCATAAGGAGATTCATGTTGTATTTATATAGCTTTGCTCCCATATGAATTCCAAAGCCATTTACTGTATACAAAATACAGCCAAAACATAGATTCATTTGAACTCTCCCCAGACTAGGGTCCAGCTAAAGAAAAAACAGGTACTTATTTGTACTGTAGCCATTGTTCTTTGAGATGCAGGTGCAGCCATGTATTCCACTCAGGTGTACACACGCCCATTGCACTGAAGTTGGAGAACTTTGCTTAGAACTGCCCATCGGACCCCTCCTAGCCACTCCCATAGCTATTTAAGGGCAGCACCACCCCAACCCCTCCTTAGTTCCGTCACACAAAGTATCAAGATTTGAGACTCCAATGCAGAGGGGACAGAAAGTGGGTTATGGAATACACGTCTGCACTCACATCTCAAAGCACAACAGTTACAGTACAGGTAGGTAACTGTTTTTCCATCTTCGAGCGGTTGCAGATGTATATTCTACTCAGGTGACTCACAAGCAGTAACCGAAGAGGTAGGGCTTGGGGTTGGGCTCTAGTTAAACAGCGACTGGATGACTGCCTTTCCAAAGTGGCATCTGACTGAGACGCAATCAAAATAGCATAGTGTCTTGTAAAAGTACGCACAGAAGACCAGATAGCAGCACTGAAAATGTACAGAAACATTACTGAGAACAACAGAAGCTGCTTGGGCCCTCGTTGAATGAGTCACCAGTGTCTGTGGAGGAGCATTTGAGCTATCCCATATGCTGTTGTAATGCAGAAAGTGATCCATCTGGAAATCATCCCTGTGGAAACCAACTGACCTCCTTCATCTGATTCCCATAAGAGACAAAAAGCTGAAGTGATAAAATTCTTTAATCCCTTCCAGATAAAATGCCAAGTAACGTCTCACATCCAATGTATAAAGGTGCTGTTCATCTGTATTTGAGTGCGGCTTAGAAAGAATACGGGTAAGTATATTGTTTGATGAAGGTAAAACAGTGAAACCATCTTAGACAAAAATCTTGGATGCAGCTGCAGAGTCAGTTTGTCTTTGAAAAATTGCATATATGGAGACTCTGCCATCAAGACCTGCAGTTCACTCGCTCTCCTTGCGGCAAAAGAAAGGCCATCTTTTGGCAAAGAAGTAACAGAGAACAGGTTGCTATGGGCTCAAACGGAGATCCTATGAGGGCAGCAAATACTATACTAAGGTCCGACAAAGAAATCTCTTCTTTCACAGGTGAAAAGAAATTGACATCTCCTCCACTACCATGAAGTCTGAGAAAATTGACTTCCCTTGGATCGGAGGATAGAACACCAAGATTGCCGCTAAATGGACCCTCAACAAGCTGAGAGATGGACCAGAGAATGAACATGTAACAGGCAATGCAAAAATGTCCTGAATACAGGCTTGCCTCGGCTGAATTCCCTGGGCTAAACGTTTCTACTTGGCCAAATAGGCAGCCCTAGAGGATGTTTTTTTTACTACTAAGCAGAAGTTGCTGAAGTGTTTCCACATACTGTCCTTCCTCCTCATCTAACCATGAGGTGCAGACTGCTCAGCACCGGATGCCAAATTTGACTGTGGTGTCGAATCAGTAGGTCATGATAGAGGAGAAAAGAACTCGAAGGTCAAATAGGTAGATTGAGAAGGTCAGAGAGCCAACATTGTCTTGGCCAAACTGGTGCAATGAGGATCAATTTGGCTTGATCCAACTTCAGTTTGAGAACAACCTTTGGAATGAGTGGGACTGTGGTGGGAGACATACCTCAACGCTGATCACCAATTCAGATAGGTGTCTGTTAACGAGATCGGACTGAGACCTGCTTGAGTGCAAAATTGACTCTTGTCTTTTGTTGCAAAGCAATCAATAGTCAGAATGCCCCATTCTCTGAAGATGGTTCTTGGCATACTACCCTTCAGAGACGATTTGTGATTCTGGGAGAAATTTTTGCTGAGGTGATTGGCCAAGTGATTCTGAGCACCTGGAACGTGAGCAGCTGTGGGAGTGATGTTTTCCCCGATGCAAAATTGCCAAAACTTTATTGCCTCCTGACAAATCTGGTTGGAGCAGGCTCTTCAGGGCTGTAACTAGGGTGGGGTGAGAAGGGCAATCGCCCAGGGCGCAGAGCCGGGGGGCATTGACCCCTCCCCCAACAGAGGTCTGGGTGGGGAGCAGAGGGAGTGGTATGGAGCTGTTTTTTCTGCTGACAGTGCCTCTGCAACTGGATGCCACCTCCTGGGTTTTAGTGCCGTTCAGCTTTCCATTCTACATGTGCAGGGTACCTTATGTGGCAGGGGTGGAAGGGCCAGGGGGATGGGCGGTGGAGGATATGGGGTAAGAGGCAGTGGGGAAAGAAGAGGATGGGATAAGGTGGGGAAAGAGAAGAGGATAGGGGAATGGGGGGGAAGCAGGAGCCACACATACCGCATCCCCTCGGCGGCGGCAGCAGCAGCAGCTGGGGCTCCCCCATTAAGCCAGCCCATCCCCCTCACAGCATTGGCAGCCCACCTACAGTGGGTACCCCTTCCGCAGGTACCCCCTCCTGCACCTTCCAAATACCCGCTCCAGCTCCTCCTTTCCCTCCCCCCGGCACTGTCTTCTATTTGGAAACTCGAAATAGGGTAACCCTAGGGCAGAGGTCTTCAATCTGTGGGGCGTGGCTGGGGCCGGGGCCTGGACCTGCACCAAGGGTCCTGGCTGCCTGTCCCATGCTCCATGCCCAGCTGGGGCTACAGGTCTCGGCCCCCAGTTGAGGGTCCACTCCTGCCCCCAGCTGTGGCCCAAGCCTCAGCCTGCTTACCCCGTCCGCATCCCCCTTCCCGGAACCACATCCCCCGCTCCCGGCTCTGTGGGGGGAGTGCGGATAGGGGAAAGGGGGGCATGAAGTAAAGTTTGGGGACCACTGCCCTAGGGGTCGCTCTGTTCTCACAGCCTTGGTTTCCGGAGCTGGTGGGAGCAAGTCTGCCCTGCTAGGAGCTGCCTATCCCCAGTGCCTGGGCTGGGCACCAAGCTCAGAGCTCAAGTTGCATGACCACAAGCTCTGCAGCCACAGGGCTGGGGCAGGGCAGTCAAGGGGAGCAAGGGATGGTTCCACCCTGCACGCTGGGAGTGTGAAAAGAGTAACCTGGAAGCAATGGCAGGTCCATAGGTGGAGTCCGGGGTGTTACCAGGCTGCTGAGAGGCAGATGCCCAAGGGGGATGAGTACTGCAGGGAGCACCTCAAGGAGCATCACATGGCAGCCAGGCTCCATGGGCAGGGGCCAGCTCCAGGTGGTGTTGAAGAGGCATATCAGGTGCAGATTGGAGCTGTGCTGCCCACCCTGCCTGGGGAGTGCCCAGCTGTGTAGAGGTGGCTGGCTCGGGGAGCAGGGCAGGGAGGGCTGCCAGGTAACCAACCAGCACCATGACTCCCACAGCATGGACAGCCAGGGCCCTGGGTAGGCCAGGTGGCTCCCACCAGCTTCAGGCTCCTGGAAGGAGGTGAGTTTTCAAACTGTGGGGCACATTGGGAGGCAGAAATCTGGGGGGGCATGCAAATATGATTGCTTGCCCCAGGCGCTAAAATGTTTAGTTATGACTCTGGGGCTCTTGATCTGTGCCTGAAAGGCCTGGTACGCACTGTAAATGACTCGAAACTCCAGGATGTTGATATGAAGAGAACATTCCTGATCTGTCCACAAACCTTGAACTTTCAATGACCCCAGATAAATTCCCCAATCTCCTGTGAAGGAATTGGTAACTATGGTTCTGATTGGTGGAGGGTAGGCAAAGGGAACACCTTTGCAAACATTTATTGGATGGTCTAGTGGACTGATCAAATGACTGACAATTCAGGAGATATACCACTTTAATCAGCCCTTAGGAGGATTCATAGATTCATAGATTCTAGGACTGGAAGGGACCTCGAGAGGTCATCGAGTCCAGTCCCCTGCCCGCATGG